AAGATGAGATCACAACATTTTCTGAAACATTCTATGTCATAAGGGAATATGTTGTTGCTTCCATAGAACATTTAACAAATCTACAGTCAACAAAGCAAATTCGATCAAGAGGAAGAGCAGAAGAACAACGTCACAGAAAAGAAAGAAAGTACGATGAGTATGACTGGATCAACTTGGTTCTACAAGGAGAACTTAGCAAATTGACCATTCCGGAATTGGATAAGTACATTACTGAAAACAAGTTGAACAAAACAGGGAAGAAAAAAGATAAGTTGGATGCAATTACAGCAGATGTCTTACGAAAACACCAAGGAAGACCAATTGAAGATCTTTTGGAGCCGCAGCACAGAGACCAGGCAAGCAGTGAAAGTGACAGTGATCAAGATATTGTATTGGAGGAGTTTGGATCAGAAAGTGATCCTGAAAGTGAGACTGAAGATGAACCTGAAAATGAACAGATACAAACTGTTGATCCAGTTCCCCTTGTTGTTCAAACACGTTATGGACGATATGCTGGAAATTGGGCTTTGTCAGAATTACATTAAAATATTGGATATAGTAGAGAACATTCGGGAACTTTATACAAAACCTATCAAAGGGATTTTGGGTGTTTTAATATGTACTGATTTTATATTACCTGCATGGTTGCAGTGAATTCATATCTTACCAGAATCATGATCAACATTCACCATTTAATATGGTATGTTATTTAATACAACTTTATACAATTTTTTTCCTTGGGTTGGGTAAAAAAAAATTTATGTCTCAACAAGGTTGGGTAATTTAAATTTCTGATCTTATATTGGTTGGGTAAAAAAAAATTTCGGATTCAAAGTTGTTTCTCTTCGGCCCCAACCCCTGCCCTAATTAATGACCGGTCCCTAAGAAAAACGCAAGTCCGTTTTGCTCTAAACGAAAAAGGAAAAAATCCTTTCGGCAAATGGATTCGATATGAATAAGAAACGAGTGCTTGCAGACAGTGACTTGGGCTCCTGGTTTTCCCAATTGGACCAACAATGGCCCAAACAGTTTGAGGATTCCGCAACTTGTTCTTTAGCAATGACTCAGACTGCTACATGTCCTGAAGAAGAGTGTCTTTGCTTTCAGCTCCAGGTGAATCCTCACTTGGCTCTTGGTTGCGCACCACAGATCTCCTACATTTACGTTTTGCTGATTTAGCTTGCTCCTTATTCGCTTTGCTCTCCCTACATTTGCGTTTTGCCGGCATATTTAATGTTTTTGTTTTGCCTGTTACACACTTATAACAAACTAGATCATCAATAAATGACGCACAACCACCTTGCCAAAAGTACTTTGACGAGGTTCGATCTGATTGGCTTACAGTTTGAAGTGAGAACAGAGGGCGGAGAAACACAACAGTGAAATCTCTTTTAGCCGTTTACACAGAATGAAATATTCCCAGATTGTCCTCACAAAAAGTCTAATGCACCGTGCACGTTTTATCCGATTCTTTCCAAACTTTGCCACAATGTAGAACAATTGTTAAGGAGCAAACGTGTGTTCGCGTTTTTCGTTTAACGCCATACTTTTCAAGTTATATGCATTCGTTCTACCGTGTATACAAATTTGTGTAAGTCAACTTGTCTGCTTTATATCAAAGCAAATACAATAGCTGTCAAAAAATGCGAACACACTTTTGTTATTTGATCATCTGAGATGGGAAATATGATGCTTTGCAGGTCCTAGGGTTAAATCGGCGACGTGCAAATCTTGTGACGCAAAGGAGGTTAGATTTTCAAAAGTAGCCCATAGCAACCACAGTGTTTTAAAATATAACATTTTTGTTAAATTGCTGGTTACAACAATGATTTATCGTCACGTACACAAAATTTGACGGCAAAAGCGTAAAAATTGAGCGAGCGGTGAGCATTTTTGTAAAATGCCATTTCATCATGTGGAATAACCTTAATTACGCCATATTTTAGGCAGCAAATAACGAAACGCACTAAATAAGTCAAATATTTTAAAAACATACCATGTTCTTCAGCGAACGTTACAACATTAGAATGTTACAAAATCACCGTACTTACATAAAACAACAACAAAGGCTGCTTACAACAAAGGCTGCGCACGTACTGTTCCTGTGTATTTCAGGTTCTTCGTAGCAAAAAAATCCAAATAGGGCTGTACATCGAACTCAATCATCTTGGCGTTTCAGTTACAACATAGATCTTTTACGGGGTGGGTTTTTTTCCAGCTGCACATCGATACCAAGTGTCTTATTCTCGACTGTCATTTGCTTAAACTGTGTAGCACGGAGAGTTGCCGTTGCGTGGGCATTGGATTTTTCACCATGCTGACATAGTTTCTGGACAGCAGAAGCACTTGGAGGAAGAGCACTGGTCATCAATCGTTGGAGCTGGCTTGCATCATGCGTGCTTTCACCGCCAAAAAGAACACAAGTGACGCAAAAACCACCGTTTGCCACAGCAGAGTAAGCCAACCATGGAAATCGTGATAACCATGCCAAACGGAAACGTCTACCAATATTTTCGTGTGGTGGAAAAGAAAAATCAGAACCAGGTTTCCAATGATTGCACAGAGTTTCTACTTTTTCGAATCAGGAAGACTGGACACCAGATTTACGTAGTTGTAGACATCATCGAATTGGTAGAAGTTCGTTGTGTTTTGGTGTCAGATTTTTCTGAAGTAGGACCAATGTGGGGAGTTACAGATGAAATTCCTTTACTAGTGCTGGGAAATTTGATTTCACTGTCTACAGTTTCTTGTGTGTTGCATGCTCGTTTCACAAGAAGCGCATCGATCTAAGCTAATTTGTTTTCTTTGTACCAGTTGTCTGCTTTTTAGTAGATGTAGTCACTTCTTTACAGGAAGGAGCAGAAGAAACTTTAGTAGAAATTTTAGGAGAAACTTTAGGATGAACTGGCATGGCAGACTTCAATAAGGTTGGAAGGTGTTCTTTAAAATAATGGTCTCATGGCTGAAGCGCTTTAACTGGTTTGCACAAGGTAACAAAATGATTTTTGGTGGATGGAATTCTTCGATCAATCAAATAAGATGGTAGCATCACAGCACAACGAAAGATATGGAGATATTCAATTGCACTGCCATCAAGATAATCCCGTGGATATATTGTACAATTGAATCCAAGGAATTCCAATTTTCTTTTGCTACAGTATCGTTGGTGAGTGGGTAGAATGACTGAATGGCACACTGAATTACTGTGGACAAGGCAAACATGCACACCATGGATGAGAATGTGTAATTTTTTTGCAGTTTCCTTTGCTTCTTCTAAAACTGCTGCAATTTCATTAGAATTCTCGAAAAAAGTAAGTGTTGCATCAGATACACACATGGCAAAGGCATTTTTAAGTGAAGTGAACGCTACGTTTTTATGCTGGGACTCAATGAGGGGATGGTTAGCATAGTGTTTGGCATTCTCAAACAGTTCAATACTGGTGAGGCATCTCAAGTGAGAAGACAAACTCTCATTCCCAATTAATGCAATAGAACATGCATTAAAGAGACAATTCCCATTAGCCGAAGTACTGAAAGAAAATCAGCATTTAATAAGGTAGTCATTCCCCTTTAAACCTTTTTTTTTTAATTTTAAAGATAATAAAGTGAAAACATTATTTTCTGAAAGGGTTAGGTGATGTAAAATGACCTATGCAAAAAAATTTTCACAAAGTCACTAATTACACTAATTATCCAATATGGCGACCGCTAATTAGGCCATAATTGCCTTTGGCGCAAACATCTCATGAACCAATTACCCAAATCTAATGACTAATATATTTTTGAAAAGCTTAGAACTTGATCTAGTGCATGACACTCTTCAATTTCTCCAAAATTCTTTAATAAAAATTTTAGAGTCGAATAAATAAATATTTTAGAGTCAAATAAATTTTTGCATTATTTGTACTTTTAATTGAGATATTTATCATGCAATTTGTGAATAATTCATCAATAATGAAAAATATCGAAATTTCAAGAGCTTCATGCACTAGAGAAAGGTACAGGCTATAAATGTGCAAAATATCAAGCTTCTATAATAAAAATCTAGCAAATTACAGTGTCACAAGCATTGCTGACACACGTCAAATTGCCAAAAAGAGAAAATCCACTTTGAAAAGTTTTGTTTACTGTCAATTCACCTTATAAAGTTTCAGAAGCCCCCTACTTCATACACCTACTTCATACACAACACCTACTTTCTCATCAGCCTCAGCCCTCATCTATATACTTTATTCTCAGATGCCCTATTGTTTTTCATCTACTTTTAATTGTTTCTCTGCTTTTTTTTTGGCGAGAATGTAATTTGTGATTCATCATATACTATTGACACGTCCAGCATGGTTGATCTTACAGGCGACTAGCTTTCCTCTACTAATATTTTGGGTTGTTTTCTTTCTTTTGCCATTTCTGACATTTATCTGAGAGTATTGCAACATTCAGGCATTTCTTGGTATCTAATGAGATGACAGAAACAACACCATTGTGTGACACATGGCCTCATCTTTGCCAAGTTCCTTCAGAGGAATTCCACATTAGCCTTTGTCATTTCTACAAGCCTCTTTAACAATCATGGCATTGTTTAGCATGCTGTCATTTGCCAACTGTTTCACAATCACAACAGGCAGCAGCTTCTTGTTTAGCATTTTTGTAAAGTTCTGACGGGTTTGTGGTGATGCCGTAATGGCATGTTCATGACTTTGGTGAATATTACCATAGTATTAAGGCCTGGACTGAATGCCAGGAAGCCAAGGACTGCTTTCACATTAACTTCATATGATGGCCCTTGTTTTTGTGAAGTATGGAAGCAGTATTTCCATTCACACTCCATGCTATCACATTGCAGGACAATGTAATGGGAGGAGCTATTCTTCTTTTTCATGTCAACATGGAAAGTGATCAGTCATGTTGTTCCCATACTCAAGGCATTTCAGAACTTGATTAAAAACGCCAAACAGAACTAACAAGTCCATAAATATAGTACCCACTTTAACAGAGTCAGTATGACCAGGATTCTAGCCAAACTTTACACTTACATCGTCTATTTTCATCTTAGAAAGCCCAGGGTTTTGATCACATACTTTGCCGCCATCCTGAATTTTGTGGCCTTCTTTGATGGTCAATTTCTTTTTTTCTATTTCGATTATTTCCCATATTTTTATCGAAAATCCCAAACAAAATGACAAACTGATAATAATATTCAACAAAGAACAGTGATTTTCGACTAAATATTCAGAAATAACAAAGATTTTCGACGATATGTTTACAGCCAGAACTTTGCGAATGACCGCGAAGTTGCTATGAAAAAGGGGTTGCCATGTACATGCAAAATGGACCAATCAAATTGCAGCTAGGGAAAAGGACCCTAAAAAACATACATCAAAAGTAGAAACTACAAATGACTTGGTTTTTTTAATAATTCATGTGAATTTTGGATAAAAACGCGTTGCTAAGGTGTTGCTAGGGAGAAAATTGTAGATCATGACCACTTCAAAAGCATTTTTCATATTTAAAAAATAAAAGTTTCATAAAAGTAACTATAAATTCT